AAAATTATCATTTCCATTTTATTTTACAAGAGGTTTGGTCATCTCTCGTACTTGCCTAATAATTGTGGGATATACTAATATATCTTATTGGCCCCCAAAATGCTCTTTGTCAAAAGTTGGCTCTCTATGGGGTGTTTAGAGTGGAGTTTATTTAAGAGCTATTAATTGTTAATTTTAATTAAATAAATTAAATATTTTTAGTTTTTTTAATAATAATAATTATTAATAATCAAATCTTAATATCAATTATCAGCTATATTTAAAAAATTAATCCAAACACACGCTATATATTTTGGATCAACCTAGAACTAGCATAAATACAACATATTTCTATGAAACTTCATATTTGTGAAAGAAGAAAAGAACATATTGCTTTTTGTGAAGAACGAAGAATAAAAAAATTAGTAATTTTTTTTGGATTTTTCAGGCACGAGATAAGAATTTATTTATTGCCTTTTTATTATAAATATATATTAAAAAATATAAAAATTGTTATTAATTTCAGTATCAAGTGAATTTAATTGAACAGTTAATAAATTAGAGATTGATTTTATTTTTTTAATATAAATTTATGATAAAAAAAAATATTTAAGATATTTTTAATCTATATCTTAGATAAACTTCCTTTTTTAATAGGCAAAATCGAGTAACAGGTCCTTGGCATAATAAGCATAACTAAGCAACTTTTATGGGATCGAATGAATGGATATTTCCATGGGCGTGAACTCGGTACTTATCATATAATATTGTCTGGAGATGCAATACAAGAAATTGTTGCGTGGTTTCAAGTTTCAACCAATAAAATGGAGGGAGGGAGGGAGTATTTCAATTCTAATTTACACCATAATTAGTTAGGAAACGACTTTCTGTCTCCAACAAAACCCATGTATCCCGGACTATCACGTGTTTAGGACACGTTAGAGACGCTGTAAAAGGAAAATATATTGGTTCTGGTGAAGCTTCTCTAGACTAGGCAGTTTTAAGAGTAAACGGGGCAACTGACCTTGATATACACCATAAACAAGGTTCCGACACTTTTGCTAGATCGCTGAATGAAAAAGTCCGTGTCGGCCTTTTAAGTAATTTTAGTTAATGACAAAATGACAGAACTAGTTCATATTTTTAGTGTTTGTGTAATTTAATCCTCAGCTTTTTGATCTCTGCATTTTAGTCCTAAAAGTTATAATTTCTTCTAATTTAGTCCTCTTCTACACAAAGAATAAAAATTATATAAAATCATGTAAAATTTCATGAGATTCATCTAAATATTAATAATATCAAGACCAAAATTTTACATTAATATATATAAAAATTGAACTCATCAGCCTCATTTTCATTTTTTAAAATTAAAACAAAATTAGTACACTTAGGCCTATAAAAGCTTAAGTGCTGCATTTCTCTTAAACACATTCACGTGCCTTGTGGCCGTTAGTGCCATTGTGGAACAAAAATATATTGCTTTCGGTGAATATTAAGCATTTTTTATGAGCATAAGAATTAATACTTCATATCACATGTGTTCTCCTTGTAACTTTGAGATCCGAGGGCTTGTTGGAAGTTTGGAATTTACTGACATTAAAAATGTAAACGTTGTGTAGTTTATGAAGAGTTTTCTCAACAAGAGATGGATGAAGACATACAATAAATGGATCCTAAAGAAATAAGAAATTAAAATAGTTAATTAACGTACATAAGTGTGGCATCAATTAATGGATTTTCGAATTGGGTACAATTTTGTCAGGTCTAGATAAAAGTGAGCTTATTTAATATTTGAGGATTCATGGATCAAAAACCAATCTACGTACATAACACATGGTTTTAAAAGGGCTCACCAAATGCTACATTTAACTAATATTCTTTTGTGTGTGTAATTAAATGGAAAATAATCAAACTCAAGAATAAATTAAGCAACAGGAATAAAAATTATCACATCCACAAAATCAAGACACTAGATTTTTTAATGTGAAAATTCCTTAAGGGAAAAAGACCCGAGGACCTAGTCTAGTAAAAAACATCCACCATAAAAATAGCATTATTACAGAGTTTCTTCTACTCTAGGAAACACTAGATGTTGCACACAACAATAAATCATCAAGAATAAAATTGTTGGATCACCAATGTATAAATCATCACCAAAATAAAGCTGGAAGTCAAAATCTCCAATCAAATTGAGAATCTCATTAAGTGTACTGAGTATGTGTCAAGAGGAATTGGAGACCATCCCTGTTGATCATCGAGCAAAACCATAACTCCTCTAGTAACCTTCCTGCTGCTGTTGCAACTCACTCTTACCGTCTCTTTACTGTTTTTTACAATGTTGATCAAAATCAACTACCGGCCGTTATTTAAAGCTCCACTGACATAATACATTCAAGGTCCAAGCTCCATGCAGTTCATGTGTGTGTTCATGAAGAGTTTTTTCAACACCAGATATAAGAAACTAAAGTGGTTGGTTAACAGAGTTGAGTATGGCATAAATTAGCCTAATAATAAGTCCTACAACTAACAACTTGCATTTAAAATTTTAAAATTTGCACACGTTAAAGAATTAGAATGTGATGACGCACTTGGAAATGATTTTGTGCATAATGCTGCCTCAGAGCTTTACTCCATCCACCTTTATATATATATATATATATATATATATATATCCTTGAATTGTCCTTGATTTAGGGAATTGATCAAGGGAAGTTACTAGAAAAACTCAAAGAAAATCCATGTCCGCAAAAATGAATTAAAACTTAGCATTATCTTGATGAAATGATCAAGAATCACTCTCAACGACTAAGGTATGAGAAAGTGAACCCTGCCTTACCAGAGAGGGCATTCTTCGGAGGGTAGAACATTATAGCTTCAAGCCTACAACTAAGACAAATTTGTGAACACCACCATTTTTCATCAAGTTGTTAGATCTTGAAGCTACTTTGCAAGCCAACCCATTGTTAAGTAAAACAACAGTGCTTGTGTTGCAATATTGGATGTGACTTGGGATGAATAAAGAGAGAATGTAGTACACATTGTTGGATTACTCATTTCTGACTCATCATACTAGAAGCATCATCTCCCACATGAAAGGCAACATTAATGTCAAAGCATCCAGCATTAAAAGGGAGGCTTGAACTTGTAATCTAGGATCAATCACCTTCTGATTAATCTTGTAGTTGACTTGAAAAAGGTAAAGGGTTTAATAAGATGCTACAAGATTCAAGACATGAACTAAGTTGGATGTTACACAGTTGTAGGAAAGCAGTCCCCAAAATTATGGGAAATGTGAGGTAAGAAGATAACTTCTGGCACATAAAAGGAAAAAAGAAGTCACAAAACAATGGGATCCTACGTAGGCCTAACAAGATTTTGCTATATCCTCTGCACAAGCAATAGGGAGCATTAAAAAAGAATGGGAAAATAGAAAAATCAAAGGCTAAACTGAATTTAGAGCACACAGAAAGCATCAATTGTAACATAAAAAAGAAAGAGGGATAAGTGAATTGCAGAAATGAAATCAAAGTAAAATAATAACACAAAGCTGTAGAAATCTATATAATCTGGAAAAAAAATGAAAAAATTGTAGAATAAATGACAGAAATTAGTCAATCTTTAATGCAACCAATATATATTAATCAAGAGAAGGGAGCAATGGGAAATAATCATTTAATTCCAAGGCAACTAACATCATAGATAGTAGAGATATATACTAGTATATTATCAAAATGCATAATTTTGCTCAAGTAAAATGAATGGTAGAGATAGCCTAATATATCAATTTTGATTCCTTGTCCTAAACAATAGCAAAAGCAAAGCAAATAGGCTTCACAATAAAATTTTAAAGAGGTAATTTGGATACTTACAAGGTAAGTTCTGCTTTTCCAAATTAAAAACTTGTAAAACTGCAGCTTGATTTAGTCAGACTACAAGCTTATATAATTCAGCAAAGGCCATCTGTGTTTCAGTTCTAGCTTACAAGCTTGTTTATTTTGGAAAAGGTCATCTACGTTCCAGTTCCAGCTTACAGAAAAATCTCATTTGAACATCAGCACCTGCTTGTTTCAAAAGTCTTCCCAATTCTTCAGAATGAAGAACATGAGGTCCTGCAATATTGAATTTAAAATTCAAATTGGTTGGCCTGCCTATGAACATCATTTTGCAAGCTCATTGGTGGTTGTGAATTCCCGTGATGCCAAGGCCAACCACTCATCCCCTTTGCAATAATCTGAAAGCGTAAGCCATTTTTGAGGCAAGTGAATGCATGAATGTTCTCAAAGGAAAATAATTTTCAGGTGGATAATAAATAGTATATACAGTTGATGAATCCAAGAAATGAATGAAGCACTAGTAACATTGAGGAATGGCTTGGCTTTATTTACCTCATCAACAATTGGCTGTAGCTAGCTCGCTCTACCAGTCAATCTGCACAAAAAGGATTTGAAATTTTAGAAAAATGGATCCTTACACTCTATGAGCATCACATACCACTGGAGAAGATACTAAGACGTAATTACTAGCTCTAGAAGCCTCTAAGGCTGCTAACTTTGATAACTTCCCAAAGGAGACATTTGTAAATGGAGTGGTTTTTTCTGGAGAGAATTTTGGTGGTGGGAGAGGTGATGGGGCAACAGCAGCTGCTACAGCAACTACTTCATTCATAGGTTCAGTTGGAATAGGTGGTGCTGTCATGGGGGGAATATTGGACAAAGGTGCTTTTGTTGCCCTAACATTCTGTTTCAGATGCATCTCGAAGTCTCCAATTTGTCATGAAATAACAAATAGCAAACAAGCTAAAGCACCATATCAAACAGCAATACAGACAAAATGATAAGAACCCAAAGTTGGCCACTTGCAAGGCTTTACACCTAAAAATCTAATTGGTATTTAAACTTTTATCACTCATGATAAATAAACAAATTCTGATATTTAAAATTTAAGGAATTTCTAAGTGAACTATGAAGAAATTATGTCTTCCAAAAGGTCATGCAAATTAGTCAATAACAAGGGTAAAAGAATCAACCTTCATTTTCAGCTTAGCAATATATCTGTCTTGTCACAGACCTCTAGCATCAATTTTTCTGATAAATTTGAAAATAAGAAATAAGCAAATTAAGCATCAACTAGAATCAGAGTAAAGCCAACATTTTCAGTCCAATATATCAAATGAACACCAAGATAAATTTCAATCAACATTCATCAAGAGATAATCACAAACATAATAGAAACTAAAAAATAGCCTAATGGCGTTCAGAAAAAGACCACTCCAGGAAAGTGAATTAAGTGGTGAACACATTAAGTTGGTAGATAAATTTCAATCAATATTCATCAAGAGATAATCACAAACATAATAGAAACTAAACAACAGCCTAATGAAGTTCAGAAAAAGACCACTATAGGAAAGTGAATTAAGTGGTGAACACATTAAGTTGGTAGATATTCAGCTGTTGATCAAATGCCAAAAAAGTTTAATTTTGCACTACAGTTCACATGAGTAGTGCTCAAAGTCCATAAATAAACACCACTGTCTTGAGCAAACTATATTCAAGCTTTTTTTTACAGGCATCGTGATTCATCTCAAAATTCTTCTTGAACTTCCTAAGGTAACAATCACTCATCAAAGAAAATTAAACTAGAAATGTGTTTGCAGTTCAAAAAAAAAAAAAAAAACCCTAGAAATGTGTTTACTGTAATTGCAAACCATTAACAAAAGAGCATGCATAACAAGCATCATCATGAATTATTTCTTTAGTATTGACAAAAAATTAGTGAATCACTCTCAAAGATAGGAAGGAGTGTAAGGCTCATGAACTTAGACTGACCTCAAAGCCACTTGGAAAAGTCACGTTCTGTGATGTTTTCTTCTCCAAGGAACCTAGTGCAGCATCATTGGATGAAACTATGGTCATCATAATGAACGACTTTTAGCTTGTCAAAGCAAGGAAAATGGGTCAAGCAATAATGTATTATTTAGTATTTAACACGCTACATGAAATCCAGGCACAGAGCCTAGAGGAATCCTTAGACCATTTTTGTATTCCATAGCCACTATAATGGTAAGTTTGAACCGAATAAAACAAAAACCAATGTGATAGAGGTTTATCCGTAGCACAGTGTCACACTTCAATTACAGTCAATCGTTGCATTTCTCCCAAAAAAAAAAAATGAACTAGAAAGAATGCTTAAACTTAAACTAGAGTAGATATCATAAACTCACCACTGGACTTGGCCGTCACAATAGATTCTGATGTCTTCACGCATGATATTAGAGAAGAATTTGGCTTCCCACCAGCCACCAAGCCAGAGACGTGCGATGTTTTTAGAGTGCATCAGTTGCCATTGAGCACATGAACTGTAGTAGGCCTTTCGTGTAAAAATCGTGACTGTGAAACTATGCCTGGATGACCTGAAATTTAAAAACAGTATATAAGCTTCCAATTTGGAAGATGAAGGCCTCACAGGAGCTAAAATCTGAATCCACTTCCTCTTTCTTTCTTAATACAAATTAAATTCAACAACGTACCCAGTTTAAGAAACTACCTGCTTTCCTGCCATTTAACATTTCAAATTGACGCAAAGCTAATCCATAAGAAAACAGAACATAAAGCAGATCTTTCCATCTCCAGTTTAGAACTCCAAAATTCAAACTGAATCACTTAAAAAACAACTACCAAAAACAGAAAAGGAAAATAGGAGAAAAGGTAAAAGAAGTCTGAGAAAAGTGTTTTCTATTAAAGATTTTTCTAAATTCTCATATGAAATGCATAAAATTGTGATGCCCGTTTCAGTTCACACCAAGCTCTTATTACATAAAACTCACTTACCCAAACAGAGGGAATGCTCCAAGTAAGAGTCCAGTAGTCTCCTTTCATCTCAAAGCGCTGTCGTTTTAGATGCGGACACCCCCGGATGCATAGTTGTCCAAGTGAGGGAGGGAAGGCTTCCTTTGGCAAAGATCGTAGCTTTGGGCAGCTCTGGATAAATAACTGATGAAGGGAGCTTAGGTTTTGGAATAGCCCCCCAGGTATGGATTCCAAATTTTCTTCTTTCTCGATCTGAAGATAGGTCAAAGAAGAAGGCAGCACAATATTCAGAGGGATCTTCTGCTCAATTGCCAATGATCGAAGAGACGTAAGGTTTTGGAGGCCCATCGTCAAAACCTCACCTGAAAGTGATAGATTCTGAAGCAATGTGAGCTGGTACATTGTATTCGGCACACACTTGAGATTCTTACAGTAACGGAATCGAAGATCTGTTAAGTTTGGGGGCAAACCCCCATCTGAAATGAACTCGATGCTGGGGCAGCTTTGCATCCATAGGTTTTGAAGAGATTTCAGTTGGTACATCGTATTTGGGAGGGATTTGAAATTCTCACACCCCTTTATCATCAACTGCTTAAGATTGGGGGTGCATGACCACAACTCTTCTGGTATGGACTCTAAAACTTTACAGTGGCAAATAGATAATTTTGTGAGATTGCTGACGTAATCAAGATTGGGTAAACTTTTCAATATTTTACAGTAGTCAATTCCAATGGATTGGAGTCCCGTACAATTCTGCAACATTCTCTCTGGAAATGATTCCAACCACTCGCCACCATCAGTAACTGTAAATTCCTTGAGAAAAACTGCTAGCTGATAACAACTATCCTGAGAAGAATACAAACATGGAACATTCTTTATTACCAAATGTAGATTGCTATTATTATTATCACCATCAGCATCTGGTAAAGAATCAAGACCTTTACAACCTTCTATTGTCAAGTATTTAAGCGAGATAGGCAATTTGCCTCTTGGAAACAACTTGAGAGAATGACAATAAAAAATTTCCAACCTTTCTAGTCTCAACATCAACACACTAGGGTTGCTGCTATTGCTTCCATCCATCCTCATCATCATTGCATCGGGTAATGACTTCAAAGCTCCACATCCCTTAAGCCTAAGATGTTTAAGATTGAAAGGCAAGTGGCTTTGTTCTATTTCTGTTCCTTCCTCCCACAAACAAGTAAGATCATTGCAATCTGCAATATCCAAAGTTTCAAGTGCTGCCCAGGACTGTGTAAAACTCTTTGGTAAGCAAGTCAATTCTGAAATTCGCTCAATTCTCAAGTTAGTGAGGGAAGTGAGATCAACCATGCTCTTAAAAAACACCCCGTTGCAGTATCTAATAGACAACTCTTTCAATGATGGAAGACTCATGCTCATAGGCAAGCAAGTCAGTTCTGAAATTCGCTCAATTCTCAAATAAGTAAGAGAGGGGACATCTCCCATACTCTTCAAAAGCTTCCCATTGCAACCTCTAACATCTAACTCTTTAAGTGAAGAAAGGTTGCTGGGTAATTGTCCTAACAACTTAGGACAATTTTCAATCAGAAGCCTATGAAGACAAGGGAATTCACTTGCACTTCCAGTTGGAGAAGTCCATTCCTTCCACTTTGGCATGTTTCTAAACACCAATTCAGCCAGTGATGGAAAAGAGCCATGCTGCCCATAAAACTCAAAACCTATAGCTTCTATTGAATCCATGCCTTCAATAATCAATTTTTTGAGAATAGGTAGTAGGCCAAGAGATGGTAACAAAGTGCATCTCTTACATCTACGGAGCTCCATGGATGATAAATTGAAAAATAATGATGGATCACAAACCCAGAGAGGGAAATTCTCCCCACCATAGCAAGAAATTTCGAGACTTTTCAAATTTGAATAAGGTTTTAACCAGTTAAGGACTTCCATTTTAAGGACTAATTCATCTTGATCATTATCAGAAGTAGTCCACTCTAGATCATGATCAAAAGTAGTCCGCTCCAGATTCTGCTCCATATCATTATCAAAAGTAGTCCGCTCCAGATCAGAATTAGAATCCAGATCATTATCAGAAGTAGTCCGCTCCAAATCATTATCAGAAGTAGTCCGCTCCAAATCATTATCAGAAGTAGTCCGCTCCATATCAGAATCAGAAGTAGTCCACTCCATATCAGAATCAGAATTAATCCACTCTAAGACTAACTCTTCCAAACCATGGATCTTGTCTAGGTTGGCCTCTCTAGCATCTTGAACATCCAAAACATTCTGCAAATCTAGAATAGACAGTCTTCCTCGAATTTGTGACAAGTTCTTCAGATCAAATAATCTTGTCATCATTCCACTTGCCTTCCCCACAATAAATTTGGACAATGTTACAAGATTTTTGAGATTGCCTATTCCTGATGGCATATTTTTTAAAGATGATGTATTAGTGATATCAAGATGATGGAGATCAATTAGATTCCCAATTGTCATAGGCAACTCACTAAGCTCATGACAACCACATAATAATAGTGTTTGTAATAAGAGAAGAGAACCCACTGATTCAGGTATACGTTCAATAGTTGTTCTAGACAAATCAATGTATCGCATATGTTTCAAATTTTCAAAAGAATCTGGTAGCTTCCTTATCTGATAGTCGCAAAGAGATAGCACTCTTAAGCGATTTAATGTTGGTATGAAATCATGCAAGATTCTTTGAGACAAATTCAACGTGCTACCATGGGTTGGCAAGAATGTTCTTAGATGCTTCAATTTATCCAAGATTGCAAATCTCTTTGAGATTTCATACTTGTGTGGAGTGAATGACAAATGACGAGCTTTCTCTAATTTTTCATCACCCATGCTACGTTCAAGATTGTAATATATTTTTCCAGCAACATCTATAGCTAAATCATTTATGAGGTCATGCATCACAAACCGTGATTTATTTGTACTTGATTGTTGAAAGAGTGATCTTGATAACAACTCTTGGAAATATTGATGACCAATCTCCTCTTCCATTTGCTTCTTTTCATGTGACTGTTGTTGTAACAAGCCCTCAGCCATCCATAACATAACCAACTTCTTTTTGTCAAATTCATAGTCTTTAGGGAACAAAGCACAATAAGCAAAGCATCGTTTCAGGTGAGAAGGAAGATGATTGTAGCTCAATCTCAGAGCAGGAAGAATTCTACTTCTATCTTCAGATGAACTCCATATGTCACTGTCTAATACATTTTCCCACTCATCACGACGCAGCTTTCCCCGCAAGACGCCACCAAGTGTTTTTAGTGCTAATGGCAATCTTTTGCACCTCTTTACAAGCTTCTCACCAATATCTTGTAGGTTTGGGTGCACATCAAAGTTCTCTTTCCCCAGTGCATGTCTTGTAAATAATGGCAAACAAGCATCATCTTGCAGCAATGCTAAATTGTAAACTCCATCATCTCCTCTCATCATCGTCCCAACATTCTTATTTCGAGTTGTGACAATTATTTTACTTCCAGGAGCTCCTGACATGAAAGGTCTCTTCAAGACATCCCATTGGCCATATTCTTTATTCCAAACATCATCCAATACAAGAAAAAACTTGTGCCCAGATAACTTGCCTTTCAATTCCTCTTGAAGCAAACTAAAATCAGAGTTACGCGGTTCCTTCCCAGTTACATGTTCTAAAATGGTTCTTGTTATTCGAGCAACATCAAACTCATCAGAAACACAAACCCATGCCTTCAAGTCAAACTTGCCTTTCAATTTTTTATCATTGTAAATGAGCCGAGCAAGAGTTGTCTTGCCTAGTCCTCCCATTCCGACAATGGGAATAACAAAGTCTTGTTCGAAACTGCCTCCATCTTCTAGCACCCTCTCAAGAATAGCATCTTTATCTCTATCTCGACCCCACACCTTATCTTCAAGAACAGAAGACTCAGGTAGTCTTCTAGCAGTGACTTTGTGAGACCTATCTTTATCTTTCATAATCAGATTGATCAGGCCAAAAGTATGCATCTCCTTTTCAATATGCTGCAATCTAACATTTAGATCATTCACCACAGAATCAATCTCCTGATTGGGTTTGGCCTCAGATCTACGTAAATTCATGAAATTGAAGGTGGTTTTTTGTCGCTTGTTGCCTCTAGCATCAGATTCTGCATTCAGTTCGGATCTCCTGGCATCAATCACAAACTCTTCAAGTATGTCCTCCATATCATAAGCCAAGTCCTTGAGATCATCAAGACATGACTTCACAAATAGGTTGGCGACTTGATTTTCTTCAGCGTGTTGAAGTATAGTTGTGATTTTGGACAATAGAGTCTTCCAATTTTTCATATGGGCATGTACTTCCTCCTTTGAATCTCGTAGCTGATCACATAGATATCCATTCAACTTTTCAAGTAACAAGTCAAATGTAGCAGATAGAAGAGAACCTCCAACGAAAGATAAGACCTCCATTGGATAAAACAACGTTTCTGTGAAAGAGAGAGAGAAACAGATTGAAGTACAAATTAGACTAATCTATTAAATACCTCACATTCGTTTATTATCATCAAATTAGTATTGTATCCTATTGGATTGAATTAATTAGTTTCCATTTAATTAGTTACACATGTTGGTATTGAAAATAGCAAGATTAGATAAAGAAAACAATCAAAACATATGCCATAGAGTTTGATTTAGATCTCCAAAGAATTGAAGAAGTAAAGATATTAATTAGAAAGTACTAATATTTATATACATACCTTAATTAGATACACTAAAACTACTTTTCCTTTCTCAGTGATGTTCACAGCTAAAAAGTTGTTGGGTTTTTGTAGAGAGACTAATTAAGCTTAATTTGATAAATTATTTGGAAATCTGTGTCAAGTAAATGAAATATTCAGTTAAATTAGCAAAGAAAATTTAATCATTATTATATTAGTTAAAGATAGATTTAATTAAAAATAATTAGATACTTTAATGAATTAAAACACAATTAATAAAAAGTTTTAAAATAAAGATATATTTAAACAGTACTAATTAAAGCACCTAATAGGAAAATGATGTGTGCACACCCGGATTCAACACCCAGGTGTGCACATTCCACATAACCAAAGATAAGCAAAAGATTTTAAAAGTGTAATTACAAATTTACCCTTTCCACTTTCTTCCTCTTTTTTTTTTTCCCGACCAGAACCCGACCTTCCCTTCTTCCTCTTTTTTTTTTTTCATTTTTTCCCCCGAGCAGAACTCGATCTGCTCATGCTGGGTTACCACTGCTGATGCTGGGTTCTGCACTAGCAGCAGAACCCGAGCAGCAGAACCCAGCAACCTAGCAGAACCCAGATCTGGGTTTTGCTGCCTAGGAGAAAAAATGAAAAAAAAAAAAAGAGGAAGAAGGGAAGGTCGGGCTCTGCTCGGGAAAAAAAAGGGAAGAAAGTGAAAAGAGTAAATTTGTAATTACACTTTTAAAATCTTTTGGTTATCTTTGGTTACGTGGAGTGTGCACAACCGGGTGTTGAATCCAGGTGTGCACCAATCATGGTCCCACCTAATATTATTTGTCTGATTTGGTCAATATGATGGGATATACAGAGATTGTTCAATGTAAAAAAGAAAAAAAAAATGATAACATGCACTCATAGAAATAATGATCTGAAGAGATATATCCATCAAAACACCTAATATTATCTCTTTGATTTGGTTAATATAATGGTATATACAGGGATTGTTCAATGTAAAAAAGAAAAAAATAATAATAACACACACTTCATAGAAATAAGGATATGAAGAGATATATCCCTCAAAAGATTGCAAAAGGCCAAAGAAAACATATGACAAAATGAAATTTGAGTAAAAATAATTTATCCATCTATCAGTTGGGGATTAATTAAGAAGCATACCTCTGCTTTAATACTCAAAGCCGGAAGCGCAAGGATGGAAGAGTAACAGAAGAAGAGTATGGGAAAAAGAGAGGCTGTGGATGGTAGAAGGAGACGGAATGAAGTTTTGAGAGAGAATATTTAGGTTGATATGGTATGTAAAATGACTGATTTAAATGTGATAGCAAAAAAGAGTTAATCACGTATCCACTACTGCATTATATATTGATAGTGTAAATTAATTATTATTAAATAAAATTAAACACTAATATAATGTTAAATTAACTGTACACATTATAAAAATTAAACTTAAAATCTCAAGATAAAAATTATGTCAAATTCTTAATAGGTTGATATGGTATTTTTGTTTTTATTTTTTTAGAGTAAAATAAATAAAAATAAAAATTATTTAAATTTTTTAATTACAAAACAAAAATAAAAAAATATTTATTAATTTGAGATATGGGGAGTGTAAAACATCAGACAAAGATTTTATCCGAAAATATAACAAAATTCACACTTCTGGGAAATCAAATTTTCTAATTACATCTGTTGTTACTTCCTAATATTGTCAGTGATATTGATTCGCTTTTTATTCAATATAGTTATGATGGTCATTGCATGGACAGAATAATTGGAGTACGATGTAGCCGTTTTTTTTATTTTTTTAATAAAAGTAATGATTAGAAGTTAGTATATTGAAGATGTTAATGGAAAGTATTAAATCCAAAACTTAAAAATGTAAATTATGAATTGTCCTTTGAGGTAACAAGTGGTTACTGAAGCACAGTACACGTAGAATGCATGTAGCCGTTGACTCATCAAGACGCGGTTTGCTTTAAATAATATGGGCCCTACAAATAATACTGTCTCCAGATACATGAACTTGCTGGATTCAACTAACTTATTTTGATAAATAATGATAAATAAAATTAAAATTTAATATTAAATTATAAAATTAAGAA